CCCCAAAACCCCAAAACCCCAAAACCCCAAAACCCCAAAACCCCATCATGATAAATTTGATAAATTAACAAAAATTATAAGATATAAAATTGAAGGTCCAAAATGAATTAAAACCTACAAAGATTATTACTCATTCAGAAAAATATCTCTTGTCACTAGCCCTCCAGCTTCATCAAGATTTAAAAGTACAATTTCGCAAGAAACATAAAAAAGCCACCCTCATCAGACTAATTGTCTAGCAGTGATGCATCTGATGCAGAAACTGCTAAGATTGAAAGACCTAAATCAACCTATAAAGATTGGTAAAAAGAACTGAAAAACCCAGCAAATAAACTTTACTTTGACGATATTGATAGAAAGAAAGCCCATTACACTAAAGATATAGATGAATAAGAGTACTAAGAAAAAAAGGAATAATTAGAAAAAGAAAGGATTTTAGTAAATAAGGCAAGGAAAGAACTTAAAGAGAGGGATCGCATGCCTTAATGGAAGTAGGAATTCATGCATAACCAAAAACCAATCTAGGACATAATCGGAGAGTCAGAGGGAGAATTCGCCAAACTAGCGAAATTGAAGGATTTCTAATAATTCACCACTCTAGATTTCCTAAACAGCATAAAGAATAAAAGTGTTTTGGAATCAGATAATCTTCTTTCCAAAATCATGATTGCTTTCATTAAGAAGCTGTATCAAAATGAAGGAATTGATATCGATAATGATGATATTTTCAGACCTAGATATAAAGAGTAAAGAGAGAAAATCAAAAGAGTTTTTACTGGTAGGTCGGAAATAAAGATAGCAATCTAGACTCTCAGTGAAAGTATCTAATAGGTGCCAGTTAATGTATTAGCAAGTATAATAACTATCTATTCAAAGGGTAATATCGAGGTTTCTGCTTAAATGATGAAGAGTATAATTAAGAGAGTGAAGATTTTACTTTTGGACGATTCAAGTTCTTAGAATATTATGAGCTTTGTAGTACTTTTCAGAATGTTGTTCAAGTTGAGTGTTCATGGAAACAAGGAAGAAGTGAGACAAATTTTACTTGATTCTATGGAGTTTTTCTTTCAGTTCTTGCAAATGAATCATTAGAATATGAATATGGAATAAATTGCGCAGTCTGCTAGAGCTCTCACTCTGGAAAACCAGAACTCATAAATCTACAAGCAACCAATACTCTCGATTATACAGGATAAACTTGTAGAAGTCCCTAAAATGTCAAATATTTTGATGTATGATTTGATTGAAACTCTTATGCAAGTCAATCAGACCGAACTCAGTAGTCTTGATCAGAAAAGTCTTGTATGCTTTTAAACTTTGTGTAAGTTACCCTAAAAGTATTTATTTCTATTAAATTTAGTTATATTTGCATATTCTTTCTTAATTATTCCTATTTTCTAATCATTGATTAATAGTCAAGGAAGTTATTGAAAGGCTTAAAGCAGGGGATTTTAAGCTCCATCATTGTGACCTATTTATCAAGCAACTTACAAATAAAAAACTAATCTTGCAAAAAGAGGCGTTTTACAATCAAGATCTTTTTTTCAAGCTTATCTTTATAGTGTTCATCCAAAAAGCTAATGAGATGGACTTTAGTAACTTTATGCTGTATATTAAGGCAATGGAAAGATACAATATAGAAGTAAGCTCTGATGTTGCTGCTTTAATCAATCTGAGACTTGAGCAATTAACAGATAAAATGCTATAACTTTAACTTGATAAGGATGGTACTAGTAGATTTGATCTATATAGATTTTTCTAGAGTGTCTCCAAATTAACAAAATCTAACCACATAACAACAAAGCTTTATAGCAAATTCTTGTAGAATTATTTATCACTCCTTAAGTCATAATTTCTAAATGAAAGCAAAGAAGACATAAAATTGAATATTCTAAAAACTGTAACTTTGATCCTAACACAAACAAAAGCATTAGAAATCAAAGTAGATGCTGAGATTTTAAGTGATTATAAGTCATTTAGAAGATAGGGCAATCTTGAATTACAAAGAAATGATCAATGACAAAGCAATGCAATATTTACACATTAAGAACTCTCTCGAGAAACATCTGATGCTCTTAAAGTTATTTAACTAATTAATTAATCTTATGCTTTCATCTCAAACATACAAATTCTATATAAAGGGGTTTTGGGGTTTTGGGGTTTTGGGG